TGAGAGGAGTTTTATTTCAAATTTACATAAAAAAATTTTTTAAGGTGCTTCAACACTTCCTAAACACCTCCTCACAAAACAAGCATATGTCCATGATTTTCAACATTGCTTGAATATTTGGTAAAGTTGTAAATAGGGTTAGGGTGTAAAGCGCTGGCCCTTTAAAACTCACATGCCACATACCTTGAAATTATGTAATTATTAAAAATTAGCCCTTGGGTATGTAGGTTCAAGGTCTAAAAAGGCTAACCTTTTATATTATTTTTTAAAATTTAAATTATTTTTAATATTTTGAAATAAAAAAAATAATCAATAAAAACTTTAAATTTTTATTCAAATTAAAAATATTAATAAAGAAACTACTAACGAGTAGCGAAAAAAGTATTAAATGCCAATAACCTATTGTCCAAACCCAAAAAAAAAAAAAGAAGCCAAAACCAATGCAACAGAGAAAGTAAAAAGATTAAAACCAAGCAACTAAAGATTAACAATATTAACATATCTTCATCCTCCTTATGATAATCAAGATCAACAATATTTAATTGTTCTTTACTACAAGTTGGCTCTTTTTCAATGATAAAATATCAAGTTTTTGTCTTCATCACTTATCTAAGGTAAAACTATGCAGTAGTTATGAGTATAAATGAGAGTCTGAATATTTGTTAGAATAAGAATTTGTGTACTTGTTAAGACATGTAAATGATGATAAAAGAAGATTTACTAGCTATTATAATGATTGAAATGCTATAATATCAGCTAGCATTGTTGAAATTGAAAGAATTGGAAATTGATTTTAATTGTTCTTCCACTAATCCAAGATATCTAATTCTCTTCTATATCTTGCTTAAGATTAAGACTTGTCCATAAAAAAATAATCCATAATTATATAAATATATGATAATATAAAGTATAGGTGGGCTTAAATGGGCTCGTCTTTTTATTTTGAGTCCTAAAGACTAGCCTTTTACTAAATAAGTCTCTAGAAACCAACAAAGATGGATCTAGCAGAAGGGGCTAGTCCCTCACAGCGTGGCGAATTAAGGTTCGAATCCCTACGAGAGAGGTACCCCCATTTAGTATCCGACAGTTGCTTCAAATAGGGGGATACATATGCTTTAGTTAAAAAATAAGTTCTCTAGAAATTAAAAGAGATATATAATCTTACATCTCCAAAAATTAGAGTATAATTAAACGTGTTGTTTGAATTATGCTCTTGTGATTATGTATAAGCTTCTGCTCCCTCTTGCTCATGATATAAAAAGTTGGTTAATTGTTCTTTTATACTAATAAATAGAATTTTAGTCATTAAATGATTTTTTTTTTCAATTTTACACCTAAAAATATAAATAAAATACTTTTAATGGTACACTTTTATTATCTCTCATATTTCTCATCTCTCTCCTATATTTAATAAGAATAAAAATAAAAAATTATATTATTATCCTGATAATATCTTATATTTTGAATCATAATTTCTTCTATCCTACTTTTTAATTATACTATGGACTGGAGGGAGTTCTTGATTATTAGGTGCGACCTTAAGCATTAATTTGAAATTTTTTTCCCTGCCATCTAAGTATTACATTGAATTTAAAGAATACAATAAGTGACATTAATATAAGTTTAAAGTAATGTGATGCCAATATGAATTGTGCTATATATATTGATTTATACAAGAAAACTGCTGACTCCAACAAGTGAATATTATAAAAAAAAAATCGTTTTTCATAGAAAGAGTCATTTGAAAAATAATCTATTGCACAATTCAAAGACGAAGTCTGAGTAAATGTCTTTAAAATTCAAATCATCCTAACGGGGAGCTAAATATTAAATAAGATAAAAAAGAGAACGAAATCTTACTATAAACATGATTATATTAATTTATTCATTACTTTAATTGACGATGATATGAAAAACATTACTATGCGAAACAGAAAACATAAATTGCTATTCTTTCATATAATAAAAGATCCATTATGGAATGGACTTGAAATCTTACATTACAATCTTGCAAATTGTTGTCAACAAAAAGTAATATATCTCTTATATATATATATATATAATATCTCTCTATAAACCTAGCATAGATATGTGTGTGTGGGGGTGTGCATTTATTGTAACTCATGAATCACTTCCAACTCAAAATTATGTCTTGGTGGAATAATGGTACTTGTATGGTTGAAGTAGCAAAGTCAAATGGAATGGGAGGCGTTTTCAATTTATCAACTTCTCCTTCCAACATTTGTATCACCATTTTCATGACGGACGATTTGTTGGATGCCACTGAATACACGAAAGTCCCACAATTGCTAGCTTCTTTGCAATTTTAACTTCATCATCATCTTCAATGTAGATATTTATATCTCCCCCTTCAATGAAATTATGTATCCATCCTGGGTACATAACTTAAAAGTTTCTTGATTTGTATCAACATTTTTTCTTCCCACCAACCATTTCTAGCAGTAACATTCATAATTGTAAATGTCTGATTTGTACGACCATTTCTAAAGTTTCGAGAGAAACTTCAGGTGCAATATAACCTAAAGTTCCTTTTGCTGCTGTCATCGACACCGTACTTTGATTTTTAGAACACAATTTAGCTAGACCAAAATCAGAAATTTTGGAGTGAAATTGTGATCTAATAGTATATTACAAGGATTGATGTCAAAGTGAAGAATTCGATAATCACAACCTTGGTGAAGGTATTAATCCCTTTAGCTATGGCAAGAGCTATTTCTTGCAGCTTCATCCATCCAAGGAAATGTTTCTTTGTTGTCTGGGGTAGATATGAACTTTTTGGAGGCAACCATTTGGGAAAAAGTCAAAACAAGAGCACGGTGGAATCCATCAGCACAAAGCCTAACAATCGGACGACATTGATGTGATGAATTTTACCCATCGTGCCCACTTCATTAATGAATTCTTACCATCGGTTTCTGAATGATTGAGTACCTTTACAGCCACTTCAATATCAGTAGATAACTGACCTTTGAAAACTGTTCCATGAGCTCCTTCACCTAATTTTTTTTGAAATGATTTGTGATTCTCTTAAGGTCAGCATAAGAGAATCTAGTGGGCTTGAGTGCCTGTAATCGTCGATAAACTTTTCCAGTCTTGCTTGATCATCTATCTTTTTGAAGAAGTGATATATGTAAAAGCCAAAAATGAACAGCAACACTAGCACAAGGGGACCTATATACAAAGCATACAAATGAAATTCAATTCAATCCAATGAACGTCCAAAAAACGAAATTAACGACAATAGAGCATAAGCAAATTCAATTATTGTCACCTGTGGATGGTAAAGCAACGTGAGAATCTTGCTGTTTTTGTGCTTTTCAACGTCTGCTTTAGGCCACTGAGTCTCAAGGAGCCAAAGTTAAGTTCTTGTGCGGGTATGGGTGAAACAATTGAAACATCAAAGTGCAGTAAATTAGAATGCCCGTCCACAGCCAAGACACCATCTTCAGAGCTAACAGCATAAATTGGGCAGAAGCACAAGAAGTCGGGGGTACTAAATAGATGAACAGATACTAATATTAGATGAACAGGATGAGCTCAACGCAAAAGAAGAGCAATCTAAGAAAGTAAGATTGTACAGCATGTCGGAATAATCAAATTGGAAAGGATAAATGGATGAATTGTAGAGACGTTGTAGAAAGAATCTGGGAAGACAATCTCACATTTCATATATTTCTAAGATGCGGGACTCATAGTCTACTGATGAGAGGGAGAGGCTTGCTCCTTTGAGAGCTGGCACTGTCGGGAACTCAACCATCGTCACGTTTTCAATTGTAAATTAAGCTTCGCTTGCACGAGATGGAAGGGAACACTTTCATGAGCATCCCCCAGATTCATAAGCGAGACGAATACCTGCATCATCAACAAACAAGAAGAAAATCTGTGATAAGAAAACATTGCAGTCAAAGTTTTTTGTATCTCTGCCCCATCTAAAAGTTGGACTCAGAGTTCTGTCTACACAAGTATAAAGTAATTTCATTCAAAATGATAGCCGTGTTCTCTGCTACTTTATAGGAACAAATTTGGACTGATTTAGACATCAATTCTTAATTTTTTAGCCAACAAAATATTAGTTGGTTACTCGCAAGGATTGACTCATATTTAGTTCAAATCCTGGTGGGCTATCCGTAAATACTTTTGTGTGTTCCTTGAAGCCAGAGACGTGCCTAGGGGCCCTCAAAACTTTAATCACCAGTCAAACAGATGTTGCAAATCAATTTTGGCAAAAAAAAAAAAAAAGAGTCTTGGCGTAGAGAAAAAGAAAGCATTACTCGCATAGCATATTAAATACATAAATAATGGAATTGAGTTGAGAAGAAAAGTCATGGAGTGAACGGGGAGGCTCAGAGTTCAGAAATCAGAAGAGTAGCGGCTACATATCATTGTGAGAGATGGCCAGAGAGAAAGGCTCGTGGTGTTGGTATTTAGTGTGGTTCACTCTGCTTCTAACGGATGCAGTTCTCAGTAATCAATTTCAGAACAAATCCTGTAGTCCATCTCGGTGCGGCATTATAACAAACATCTCATATCCATTTCGACTACGAGATGACCCACCCTCCTGCGGCGACCTCAAATTCGAGTTAGCCTGCCAAAACAACGTCACTCTCCTTAATCTGTACAATGGAGCATACAGAGTGCTGGGAATCAACTACGAAAACTTCACAATCCGACTCGTAGATCCTGGCATTCAGGAGGGCAATTGCTCCTCCCTTCCTCGTTATTTCCTATCCCGATCCAATTTCAGCTACTCCGACGACTTTGCCTATATCGATCACCCTGAATCAGAAACTATATTCAAACACATGGTGTACCTGAAGCAGCGATCCAGTTAGGGACGACGCAACGTACGTGGATACATCTCCCTGCGTGAATTGGGAGTCCAGAGAAAAAGGAGAAGGCCATGTGTATGCTGTTGCTGGAGACTTACTGGGTAAGGACTGGAAATCAGGGTGTCGAGTGAAACTTGTGGCCGCCATTAGCTCAGATTGGGACTCATTATTGCTACGCGGAGGAGCCAAGTCCTATTCCGATATCCACAGCGTGCTTTCCTATGGATTTGAAGTTTCTTGGGTGAACTGGTTTCACCACGGTTGTGAGGCTATTTCTTGTTTCGATTACGATAGTTGCAGTTTCCCCGTGATGCTCAAACTTTCAATGTCGTCAAAGTTGTCAAACTCATCGCTATAGTCCCATGGGTATAGATAGCGTCGGTTGTGGTAAGTCACTTTTCCCTTATCATACATTCAAACTTCTCACACGTTTACAGAATATACATACGCGCACATACTCCAGTGTGAGGAGATTGGCTCAAAATATAAGAGCTTAACCAAGTAAGTAATTAATGATAGTTTTTGACTTTTACTTTTTGTTACAAAGGGGAGAGGGGAAGAGAATTTTCCAATCACATCTTTTTAGTGAGGATAAAATATATAATTTTATTAATTTAAAACATATTTAATGACTTAATTAACATTTTTTTATTTGCAAAAAGCCTAAATAATGTTTTATTACTTTTGGATCTTAGTATAGAGTTATTTAACTTTTTTTTTAAATATAAGATATCAATTCACTTTTCCTCTCATATTTATTTATTTTATTTCGAGATAGTTTTGTAATAAAGAGAGTTCTAACCAATATACTTAATTAGTAAGTATATTTTTTAAAAAAATCTATTTATTATAGATGATTAACGTAACTTTTTTTTTAATCTATTCAAATTAGACAATTAATTTATATTAAAGTTTGTTATACTATAAAGCTAATAAACTGTGTATGTATGTGTGTGTGTATATAGAGAGAGAGAGGAGACTACATGTTATTTTTTAAAAGAAAAAGCTCATATAAGAAGTTTATAATTTTTTTCATCTATTTTTTTTGCATTGGAAGAAAGCGAAAGGTTCTATTTGATTTTGTGTCATCCCTTTATTTTTAAAACTAAATAGAAATTACTTCCTCTCTCGGTCAGTTTGTGTTAATATTGCTCATATTTATGTTTATGTTAGTTTTTTTTTCCCCGGAGTATGCTTATCAAAGTTATTTATTTATCTTTTAATCTTCTTCGGTTTTTATGATGTAGCAGCACTGCCAAAGCTGCGCATATTTGCAGAAGGTATCATTCACTGTTAATGTTAGTCTAGTTCCTGTACGCTTCAAATATAACCTTCTTTTAAATTAAGAAAAAATCATTAAAAAAAATACCTGTTTAATTTTAAAATGATAATAAAAAAGTAAATTTGACCTGTAAAAATCTTTATAAAATAGTCAGCATTATCTATTTATCATTTTGAAATTTAACAGGTATTTTATGGTATTTTTCCTTAAATCATTCATTAAGGCTACTTTTGCTAAAAGAAATCATCCATTAAGGCTGCCTTTACAAACTTGTTTCAATAAAAGGGTGGGGGGAAAGATGACATTGAGAGGTCAAAATGAATTATTCATATGTTAAAATAAAAAAAATTAGCTCAGATTGAGTTTTTGGATATGGTGTTTGAAAATGGACCAACTTTGATATTTGTTTAAAATGACAAACAGATTTATGGGTGCGAGGTCTTATTTAAAATATAAACAATAGTTTTGTTCTTTCTACAAAAAAATATAGTTTCGTAAATTTAAAAAGAAAATATTCTACAATAAAAAAGAAGATACGTTGGGCTGGGAAAAAAACAAAACAAAAAAGATAAGTTGGAGTATTCTACGAAACAAAATCTTCTCACCTACAACACCGTTCGTCTTTTTGTTCTTATTTACTTCTACAGCTACCCTTGACATTGTTGACTTATTCTGTTAAATTTTCTTGCAGATTACCTCTATGGAATTTATAAAGGTAAGATTCTATCTAATTTGTTTTGATTTATAATCTTTTAATTTATTCCATATTTGCCTATAACTTTGTTTCAAAGTTTTAAAAACGAATAATTAATATATTAAATTAAACTAATAATGAATTAACTAAAACAATATAGCTAGTTCTTCTTTTTGGGGGGTTACATCATGAGGATTAAACGATATTTTTTATCTTTCCATCCTATTCCCAGCATTGTCACTACTTGAGATAGTCCTAGGTGATGATAAGCCTTTATTTTATTTGCACAATATTTATGTGTCTGGTAATTGGCTATATATATGCTCATCACCATCATGGTTACCCCTCTTTTTATACATCTATTTAAAACAGAGTGAACGAAAATGAAAAGGTGCTCTATTTTTAACCAACACAGTTACATAATTTATGATTATTGTAAAATATTCTTGACCTCTAGAAGAAATATATTCATAATGTAATATACAATGAGAAAATGAAATATTTGATCCAGGTGTAGTCATCTTTTTTTGAATAACCAAACATGTAATCAAACATCTAATATTTATGAAACTACATATTTGCAGGATTTCGCCAAATAGTGAAGATGACTACTTACGGTCACTATAGTGACTATGATTTTAGTCTAACAAATCTTGCAATCACATTAGGAATAGCGACTGGAAGAGTTGTTTTGCCAATCATCACAACCAGATTTTTATTTGGCATCATATTCCTATCTGCGCTATTGCTTTATAAATGCCATAGGAGACATTTATCAATATATGAAGACATCGAAGATTTTATACGACTTCATAACCTCATTCCAATAAGGTACTCTTACAAGGATTTGAAGACAATGACCCAAGGTTTCAAGAATAAGTTAGGTGAAGGTGGCTTTGGCACTGTTTACAGAGGGAAGCTAAGGAGCGGACCCGAAGTTGCCATCAAAATATTGGGCAAATCCAAAGCTGATGGCCAAGAATTTATCAGTGAAGTGGCAACACTTGGGAGGATACATCATTTTAATGTGGTACATCTTGTTGGTTTTTGTCTTGAAGGAACAAATCGTGCTCTTATATACGAATTCATGTCCAGAGGGTCTTTGGACAAATATATTTTTTCTAAAGAAGAAAGCATCTCCTTGAGTTATCACAAAATATATGAGATATCTTTAGGGGTGGCTCATGGAATTGCTTATCTTCATCGTGGTTGTGACATGCAAATATTGCATTTTGACATCAAACCTCATAACATTCTTCTTGATGATAGCTTTACTCCAAAGATTTCGGATTTTGGGCTGGCAAGATTATATGCTGTTGATGATAGTGTTGTCACTTTGACTGCAGCGAGAGGTACAATAGGATACATGGCTCCTGAATTGTTCTACAAGAATATTGGAGGAGTGTCTTCTAAGGCAGATGTTTATAGTTTTGGAATGCTTTTAATGGAAATGGCCGGTAGAAGAAGAAACTTGAACCCACATGCAGAATGTTCAAGCCAACTTTACTTTCCCTTGTGGATTTATGATCAGCTGGATGATGATAAAGATATAGAAATGGAGGATTTGACAAAAGAAGAAAAGGATTTAGCAAAGAAAATGATCATAATAGCACTCTGGTGTATACAGCTAAAACCTATTGATCGTCCTTCAATGAGCAAAGTGATAGAAATGTTAGAAGCAAATGATGTGGAAAGTCTTGAAATGCCCCCAAAACCTTCCCTGTACCCAAATGAGACAGTTTTAGCGGATCACATGTCCGACACTGACCAAACAATATCCACTACTCCTGGACATTCTCATAACAATCTGGGTGAGGGCACAAGTAATGGAAATTAATATGCAATTGAAAAGAGGGGGTCATAGCTGGTACCTATTCAAAGTTTGGACTTATCATATTTGTATTTCTTTTATATACAATATCATATTTGCATTTGATGGAACTATTTAGTTATTGTGATTTGGGTTTTGCCTTAGTAATTCAGCATCTTGCTTTCATTATTAGTAATGATGTCCGATATGCGCAACGCAGAGACTACTATTCTCTTTCAAGCTCATAATGTGCAATGTAGTATATATCTGTGAAGCAATAATCATGGATCAAAATCTTTAATTGAAATAGATATTTCTGTCTAACTACTTATTTGCATTCGCCTTTGTATTTGACGTTGCTAACATACACAAACACACATTATGAGGTTTAACATTTTTGTGTGCAATTTTTCTAATGAATTGTCATAATATAACACAAATAGCACTCCTAGGTGTCTAGGTAAACGCCTAAGGATAATTGACGGCTCGTCCTGCCCAACATTGGTATGACCTAGGAGGAAGGGAGACTTTACCATACTCTTGGATCATAGGTGAACCCAACCCCTTTCCAAAAAAATTTGTATCAAAAAAAAAAAACACAAATAGCATACAGTAGGTCAAAAGATGCCCAAAATTCCGGAAGCATAATTGGCTCTCTTTTCTAGGATTAAAACTTCAGAAATAATGGTCATATAGTTTTAATATTTGGTTTTTCAAATTAATTATACTAATACATATGGATGAAACCAACACTACAAAAGAAAATAGTTCATTACTGACAAAAAAATTTATTGAAAATTCCGCCACTAATTAAATGCCGTGACTAAATTTCATCAATAATCACATTTTCTTTTTAGTAACACAAGAACTAATTCCTGGTCAAAAAGGAAACCAAAAACCAATTCCTCTTTTTCAGTTTTTATCATTCACTTTGGGGCCCATTTAGAAACTGAATGCCCAAAAAATGTGCCCCATAATGGACCAACCCATAAGTCTTTATCCGTGGCCTCTCCGTTGCCTTCGCAAGATTCTTGCTTGATACTTTGCCAAAACCAAAGCGATGCTAGGTGACAATTCAAATGTGAAATTTTCAGCAGCTGCGGTTGTAATTTTTCTTTTAAAAAAAAAACTTGTAGGAATTTCGAAGCCCTACTACCTTTAAAATTCTACCTCATACGCTTAATATAAGATCTAGTTAGAAATTTAATTCAGTTTTAAATATAAAATCTCAATTTACTTTATCTTACATATTTATCTATTTTTCCTAAAGCAATTCTTATATTGATTGCACATGTTATAAGTTTTGTTAAAAACCAGTGCTAATGCACATGATTAATAAAAGTATTTTAGATAATATAACACCTATTTATTACAAATAACTAACTTAACTGTTTTTTAATACTCATAAATTAATTATGTATCTAACTTTTATATTAAAAATTGAAAGTACTAATTTTATAGAATTCCAACCTTTGGCCGCCAAAAAACCAAAAAAGGTTGTCCGCAGCAGCAAAGGAGAGACGCAGCGAGAGCATTTTCATCATGCCATATTTTATTTTGAGTTGAGATACAAAACTACCCATCAAATGATAAAATTGCACATGAGAGAAGTATATGATGTCAGGCATATTTTGAAAAATGTTAATAGGTATTTTTGCATATTAAATTTTTATTTTTTTTATTTTTGCAAAAACCCATTAAGATCTTTGACGGTTATTTCTAAAATTTTGGGATCCTTATTTATGTTTAATTTCATTTCATGATCTCTATTTGTCATTTTCTCTGCAGTTGCATAGAGATGAAAAGGTCTTAAAAAGTTGCCATACTACTTCTTGTCTTTAATCTAAGAGTTAATTAACTAATTTACGTAGAATAAAAAAATTAATTAAGTTAGTTATTTATAATAAATAGATGTTATTTTTCTAAAATATTTTTACTAATAATGTGTATTATCAAAAACTAGCATTTGATAAAACCTTAATCTGTGTAAATATTACAAAGACTACCTTAGAAAAAATAAATAAATATAAGAGACAAGATGAATTGGGGTCTTATATTTAAAATATATTTAAAACTAAATTGAATATTAAACATGCTTATATAAGGACGGGAGGTGTTAGTTTGCAAAAATTCATCAACGTGAACAACACGGTATGGTAAACAAGTGTCTCTAATTTTCCACATGATGCTATTTGACTGAAAATTAAACCCAATTAAATGAGGCGATTACAATTCAATTGTGAAACATGTTCGATGAGAAAGTCATAAAAATTGATAGAAAGAGATTAATTCCCCTCCCCCCGGGGGGGTTTGACTGCTTATTTATTTATTTATCTTTTTTTGGCATCAGAATTGACTGTTTTTACTGCCCATTCTAATTATATCGGATTTTGTAGCAGTTCTGAGTCCTAACCATATTTTATTGTGAAAGGATGAAAATATTTATGGATGAATTTGCATATTAACCACTAACCAGTTAATTGCTCTAGTGACCAAATATGAGCTAAAGTAGTGAATCTCCTCATCTGGTAGCAATGAACACACACACATAAATCATTGACATAATCAGTCTATTTGGCATGGCATCTTGGAAGAAAAAAAAGTAACTTATAGGTGTTATAAATCAGTTTGTAAATTTGAGAGCTGTTTGTTATAATTTTTGGCCAATCTGATCAAAAACTGTTTTTTTAAACATGGTTGCAAAAACACCTGAAACTTACTTATAACTTATACAAAAGTAGTTTTTTGAAATTAAAAGACATTTTGCTATATATTTTTTGTACTTTTCAATCAGTTTATAGTTATTTGTTTTAATATTCTAAAACAATCTTAGTGATTGTTATAATATTTTTAATTTTTAATATTATTTTTCATTCTATATTTAAGTAACGTGGCATGTTGATGAGTTCAGAGTGAGTGGCCTTACCTAGACTAAAACCTTAGATATCAGACTAAGTTAGCTTGGTTCGGTTTAGCTAACACCTTCAAAAATTTTCATATTAATATGATTTCTAATTTAAATCTATTTTATTAATTAAATATAAGTTTTTCATATTATAATAATCTAAAATTATTATATTTTGCAAAGTCGTATTTTTAATCATTTTTTATTATTTAATAAAAGTTATACCCATTTTGATCATTCTGCAAACTAAGCTTATTCATTTAATCATAATCCAAATAAATTTTGTACTTTACAAACTAACTTTTATAAAAGTTAATTCAAACACAAATCACACCACGAAATCTAACTTTTATCCAATCTCACTTTTTTAAAAATCAAATTTAAAATAAGTTACTTTTTCTATTGCTAATCCAAACGAACCCAATAATTACTAGTACGAAGTAACTTCACTATAAAACATTTCAAGTATAAAATTTATGTAGGACTAATTAATATGGAGAAAAAAATGAAAAAAAAAGGTAAAATAAACATTTCAAACCAATAAGAAACCTGAGAGTGTTTAATTGGGATAGGATAAAAAAAATTCGGGATGGAACCACAACCACTATAGTAACCAAGATGAGACGGGATGTAGGACGGGCTCGTCCCGTCCCATCCCAGAGTTTTTTTTTTTAAAAAAATTACTTATTAATAATTTTTATTAGATTATTCAATTTTTTTTAAGAATAATTATTTTTATGATGATTTTCAGCAATTAAATTATAATATTATCTCAATAAAATCTTATTTCTCAATAAAATAATTCATAAAAGCATTATATAGTTTTTTATGGTAATTCTTTTTTTACAATATTGTTTTTACAAGTTTTTTACATTATGCAATTGAGCTTTTTATATAATATATTTTTTTAAATGTTTTTATATTCAGAAGCCTAATAAAAAATAAAAATTACAATATAAAAAAAATCTAAACCTAAATTACATTGGTTTGTAAAGAAAAAAAATTTGAAATAGGGAGGAGATACGGGATCGAAATCCCATCCCGTCCTATGAGCAGGCATAAAATGAGCCATTTGAGTTGCATGTATAATTTGGGAAGACTCGTCTGCAAAAATAGACCTCCACAGTTAAAAATAAATTAAAGGAATAATATTAGGGAGAATTTAGAAGTCATAACAATAAACGATGACTATAAAAACGGGTATCGTTTTCTAAGTCAATGGATAACTGGTTTCCTAAAAGAGTCCTCATTCAGTACGATGTACTCAACATTGCTACCTTTCGTTCTTAGTATGAGAGTTAGTTGACTAATTTAAGTAGATTAATAAAATTTGTTGAGTTAGTTATTTGTAATAATTAGTTTTGTTTTTCCTAAAATACTCTTACTAATTATGTATTAGCTAAAACTATTATTTGATTGAAATTTAATATGTTTAACTACTACAAAGGTTACTTTGAAAAAATGAATAAATATGAGAGACAAAGTAGATTTAGGGTCTTATATTTAGTACTAAGTTAAAAGTTAAACTAGTTTTTCTATTAATGACCGAAAGTAATATGATACAACCTAGACCGTCCAATGAAAGTAGGGAGGTGATCATCTTTTGGCAGTGCTTGTGTTATGGCTATGCCTCTCTTTTATTGAAAATGCTAAAAAGGTAAAATGGGGGGAAAAACGATCGTACAGAAACTGATGATGAGAACATATTAGCATATGTGCTTTTAATTAATGGCGTCTCTATTCAGATTGCCCATGCTCATTTCCTCGTAGGATCATAGCTCTTTCAAGGAGTCCCTTCCTAATTCAAGATTTCATCTTTCTGCTTCTTGCTTCTTCCCCATTGTATTCCATTTCTGATCCATATCTGTTGTCCCTCAACTATAAAAATCTCCATCGTTGCTTTTCTTTTCCATCGTCTCCTTCTTCATCTGACATAGTCGATTCACGCCGGATCACAGATCCATCTTCAAAAGCCTGGCAACATTCGTGAAAGAATACGGACAAAAAAATACAGGAGGGAGTTAACGGATGGTTGTGGGCTGTTTAACACAGGTGAGATTGCTCGACTTTTAAAATTTCTGGGGTCAAATTCCACCATAAATTATTTTATGATGCTATATATACTTTAAAAAAATTTTCTAAGTGCTAGATGTACCTTAATCTTTTATTAATATCCACAACATTAACATAACAAAATGTTCTGCATAATATAATATACTACTTACAATCATTAATATAAGAGCTAGTTTGACATTCAATTTAGTCTTAAATATAAGATTTTAATTTACTTTGTCCCAATTAGTCCTTTTAATAGTTGGACATGTTAAATGTTTTATCAAATAATAGTTCTAGCCAATACACATGATTAACAAGGGTATTTTAAAGAAGACAATACCTATTTATTATAAATAACTAACTTATTTAATTTTCTTAATTTACTTAAATTAGTCAACTTACTTTTATATTAAAGACAAGAGATAGCATTAAACAAAAAGCATCAATCTGCACATGTAACGGAAATAGATAATAATTGATTTCATCTATGGATAAACATGAAAATAATATTACAAGCCTCACAAAATACTCTCAATAAAAATAAAAATTACATGTATTCATACACACCCAAGTATTTATTCGAATTCATGAATCACTTCGAACTCTAAATTCAAGTGTCTCGTAGGAATTATGGTACTCGTATTAGTTGAAGTGGCAAAGTCAAATGGAGTGGGAGGCACCTTTAATTTATCAACCTCTTCGTCCAACATTTGAATAATGGTCTTCATGGAAGGACGATTTATTGGATGCCATTGAATGCACCAAAGTCCCACAATTGCCAGTTTTCTTGCAATCTTAATGTCATCTTCATCTTCTATGTGGATACTTATATCACCTCCTTCCATCAAACTATGGATCCATTCTGGGTATAACACTTGTAAGATTTCTGGATTAGTATCAACATTTTTCCTTCCACCAACCATTTCTAGTAGTAGCATTCCATAACTGTAAATATCTACTTTATATGACACATTTCCAAAGTTTCGAGAGAAGATTTCAAGTGCAATGTAGCCTAAAGTTCCTCTAGCTACTGTTATTGATACTGTACTTTGATTTTTAGAACACAATTTAGCTAGACCAAAATTAAAAATTTTTCGAGTAAAATTGTGATCTAACAACACATTATGAGGATTGATGTCAAAGTGAAGAATTCGGTAATCACAACCTTGATGAAGATATTCAATCCCTTGAGCTATGGAAAGGGCTAACTGTTGCAACTTCAACCATCCAAGGAAATTTTCTTTGTTGTCTGGCGAAGATATGAACTTTTGAAGGGAACCATTTGGAAAGAAGTCATAAACAAGAGCACGATGAAAACCATCAGCGCAAAAGCCTAGCAAACGAACAATATTGATGTGATGAATTTTGCCCATAGTCCCCACTTCATTGATGAACTCTTGCCTATCGCTCTCTGAATTATTGAGTACTTTCACAGCCACTTGGATTTCCGTAGATAACTTACCTTTAAACACTTCTCCATGAGCTCCTTCACCTGATTTATGCTTGAAATGATTTGGGATTCATTTCAGTTCAACATAAGAAAATCTAGTAGGCTTATGTACCTTGTAATCCTCCAAAAACTTTTCCAATCTCACTTGATCATCTCCTTTCTCTTTGAAATAGAGATACATGTAAAAGCACACAATGAACACCAACGCTAGTAGAATTGAACCTGGTGTTACAGAAGCATGTAAATTAAACATCAAATTTCAATTAGAGGAACATACCAAAAGCCATGTTGAGAGGGGGAAAAAGAGCAAAAGAGGAAAAGCAAAGTCAATGATTTTCACAAGCACCTGGGAAAACAATTCCAAGAATCTTCCTGGTTTTACGCTTTTCAACATCAGAATTTGGTTGTGGAAATTTGATTTGCAAGACGTTTCTGTGAAGGCACATTGCGGAAATTGGAGAAACTACCTGAAACATCTTGGTGTAGAAAGCTAGGTCCCACTCCAGGATGCTATCTTCGGAGGAAACAGCATAAATTGGGCAGACCACCATATCTTGTGCAGATGAATTGGAAAAGTGTTCGTGTCTAAGGTATCTCGACCCAAGTGAAGAACAATTAAAGAAAGTAACATTTTCTTTGGTCATATCATAAAACTCTAAAGGATAAATGGATGAATTGTAGAGATGATGTTGTAGAAAGAGTCTGGTAAGACAACCCTCTGGATCCTCTGTGTGTAAGATGTGGGATTTATAGTCCCTGTCATAAACATAGAGACTTACTCCTTCAAGAGCAGGGATAGACAGGAACTCAACCATCCTGCCATGGTCATAGAGATGGAATGGAATAGTTTTATCATTAGCCACATGCTGTTTCAAACCATTCCCTTGTTTCACAAGGAACATTGATAGTTGGAATATCACCAACAACAAAAATCTGCAATAGCAAAACATGGTAAGCAAATATTTTCTTTTCCAAGTTCTACATGAAACTTGGATTGGGATACCAATATATGTTAGGTGACACGATACATATTTCATTTAGAATGAAAGCAAGGAGAAGAAGGAATTGACTTGGAAGTCCACTGTAGGTTAAAATTGTTTTCGTGGTCTATGGTGCTGCTAAAGTAAAAAGCTTTGGATTGATCACATTTGACCAAAATTGTTTGTCGTGGTTATGGTGTTAGTTAAGGAAAAGCTTTGTATTGATCAGAGTTGATCAAAATTGTTTACCATGATCCTTGGCACTATTTAAGAAAAGCATTGGATTGACCAGAGGTGACTGAAGTTGTTTGTCGTGGCTCATGATTTATGATGCAACATAAGTAAAAGCTTTGAATTGACTACAGTTATTCAAAATTGTTAGTCGTGGGCTATGGTGCTGCTTAAGTAAAATTTTTATATTAATTATAGATGACCAAAATATTTTGTTGTGGTCTATGGTGCTATTTAAGTAAAGGTTTTAAATTGATCAAATTGATTGAAATTATCTACCGTGGCCCGTGGACTACGGTACTAAAGTAAAAGTTTTGAATTGACTACAATTGATCTAAATTGTTAATCGTGTTCTATGATACTACTTAAGTAAAAGCTTTGAATCGACCAAAATTGACTAAAATTGCCCGTGGTTTACGATACTATTTAGGTGAAAGTTTTGAATTGACCACAACTGACCAAAATTGTTTACTGTGGTCTATGGTGCTACTTAAGTAATTAAAAGAGTTGGATTGATCAAATTTGTTCTTTTTCTTCACTTAATTATCAATCTCTTTAAAATTTTCAGATAATAAATTATTTAATTTGCATTTTCTAATGTACGGGAAAATGGGGGGAAAATACTCTAGCAGTTAGTCAATATTCATAGGGGCCAAGAGAGATGTAAAGACAAGTCATTAGTCAAAAAGTGAAGTCAACCTTGGAAAAAAAAGACACAAGTTAGCCGCGTGGATGAGAAAGAAAAGAAAAAAATGACAAGGAGCTGTGTTTATTAAAGAAAAGAAAAGGAATTTATTGAACAACAGCTTAGAATCAACAACTGCACATCATTGCGAACAATGGAGAGAGAGAAAGGCTTAAGGTGGTGGGATTCTGTGTTGCTTGCACTGCTTCTAACATATGGACTTGCGAGCTCCCAAGAGCAGAGCAAGTCCTGTGCTCCGTCTCAGTGCGGCATTATCACAAACATCAGACATCCATTTCGACTACGAGATGACCCGCCCGGCTGCGGTGATCCAATCTATGAGCTAGCCTGTGAAAACAACATAACTCTGCTTCATCTGAATTCAGCAACATATAGAGTGCTGGGAATTGACCACAGCAACTTCACAATCCGACTCGTAGATCCTGGAATTCAGGAGGGAAATTGCTCTTCCCTCCCTCACTATCTCTTATCCTTATCCAATTTCACTGATAGTCATAGCCGTAACCCCTATGACGCTATTTTGACATACAAACAATTTACATTCAAGCACGTAGTGTACCTAAAGTGTAGAGATCCAGTGAGGGACGACGTAGCATACCTGGACACAGCTCCCTGTGTGAAGTGGGAAGGAAAAAGTCATGTTTATGCTGTGGCTGGAGACCTGTCGGCTTACCAGTTAAAATCTCAGTGTCGTGTGAAATCAGTGGCCACCATAGCCTCTGATTGGGAGTCAATAGGAGATCAAAGAAAAAAGTCCTACACTGATATTCACATAGCGCTTTCCTCTGGATTTGAGCTTTCATGGTGGCGACGAGCTTGCATTGATTTTAAATGCCCAAGTGATCGTAAATGCTCTTTAGACCCTAAAACAACAAGTCTCAGATGCGCTGCGTTTCCCAGGAGGTGCATCAGTCCCATGGGAATAACTGACGGTGAAGTGGGAATAAAATGTACGTCACTTTTCCAGTTTTCCATTTCTGGTTTAAATTAATAATTAATAACTTCAGTTTTTAATATAAGAACTGACTAATTTGAGTAGATTTGTTAAGTTAGTTATTTATAATAAATATGTATTATTTTTTTTAGAATACCCTTACTAATCATGTGTATTAACTAGAACTATTATTTAATGAAACCTTTAACTAAAAAGACTATTTTTAAAAAATAAATAACTATAAAAGACAATTAGGAACTTATATTTAGAATTAAATTAAATATTTAACTTTTATATTATATTAAGAACCCAAGTATTATTTGCTCAAGAGCAGTACTCTTTACTTAACTCATATATTTTAACAGTTTTCTTGGCTTAAATGAAACAAACCTTTTTCCCGCTAAAATCAGTCAATGATTAATTAAAAAACGAATTTGTTTTATTGAGATTTCCATGTTCAACATGTTGACATTATATTTACGGTTTTTAATTTTTAATATTTCTGAGTCTTGCAGGTCATTTATCAAAGTTGCGCATATTGGCAGAAGGTAAATAATGAGCTTATTTACGTATATAAGAAAATTGATTAACTTAATTATTTATTATTAAAAGGTCATATATCACTTTCCGTAACATATCCTGCTTATAAATTTTAAGAGAAAATAACATCCAATTGGATACTTATTTTGTATTCAATCACTGCCGTTGTTGACACTGCTAAAATTTCCTTGCAGATTTTCTTTATGGATTGGAAAAAGGTAAGGTTCTATCTCATCCCCGGCACATTTTTTGTTATTTTTTGAGTTTAGCCACGATTTTAATTTCTTAATTAATTAGTTGATCAATTTTAATATATCTTCTGATTATATATGTTATTTTGATTTTTGACTTATAATTTGTGCCATATCTATCTTCATTTGGATACGCCAAATTAAAATGATTCTGCACATACGAATATATATATATATATATATATTGGCCTGAGCACATACGAATATTAAGTGATTGAATTGGGGAAAAGGGATCTTATATTTTACAAGTAAATTCCTACACTTTTTCGTCATCCTTCTAAAACAAATCCACGGCAATACCAAAACAACACTTCTGATTGACTCCCTATCTGTGCCGTAAACAAAAGTCTATATACTTTATATCTTGTCATGGTCAAAAATAAAAATAAACTTCATATAAATAAATGATGTTACTCATGATTTTAAATACTTTATAAATGTCAAACAAAGTTTCACTTCAAATATCAAAACTACTTCTCATCATATGATATCCACATGTCTTAAGGGGTGTTTGGATGGAAACCAAACAATAATTTTACAAGTGATTTTACAATATACAAAGTAAATATGTGAAGAAATTTATCTAGATTTGTAAAAAACTACTTTTAAAAAGCAGATATCCAAACACTTATTTATTGTCTTACTTCTCAGCGATTGTTTGCAACTCTATAAAAGGACATTGAATAGGCAAAATCAAAGATAGAAAAAAAAAATGTTTGAATCCAATATAAAAATTTTTTTTACAAATATTATTACTTATATTTTTATACCTTGTTCTTGTTCAATTTGTGTAAAATCCTCCTGTAAAAAAATACTAATAATTAATTCTAAGGTTAATAGCATTTTTAACCCCTAAAATTTTACTTTACTTTAATTTTGGTCCTAAAATTTGAAACTAACAATTTTGGTTCTTGACATCTTGTCTCAAAGGCCAAAAATACTGTTCTAAGGACCAAAAATCATAAAAATAAAATCAAATTCCAAAAATTAAAACTACAGCTGGTTTTAAATTTTAGAGACTAAAGCTCAAAAAAAAAATTCAAATTTTAGGGACTAAAAATGATATTAATACTTAATTCTATGTATATTCAAAGTAGTCATATTCTTGTCACTATTAACCAATGATACGGTGTTCTTTTTTTTTTTTTTTGGGGGGGGTGGGGAATTTGCAGGACTGGAGGAAGTAGAAAGGAAGGGTATATACCCTCACTACAGTGACACGGATTCTATTCTAACAAATCCAGCAATCAAATTAGGAATACTCACTGCAATAGGTCTTGTGCCATACATGATACTCAGATTTTCAATGGGGGTGCTACTACTATCCATATTGTTGATTTATAAATACCGGAGAAGGCACATGTCAATGTTTGAGAACATTGAAGATTTTATAAGACTTCAAAACCTTATTCCAATAAGGTACTCCTACAAGGAATTAAGAGCAATGACAGAGGGTTTTAAGATTAAGTTAGGCGAAGGAGGCTTTGGAACTGTATACAAAGGGAAGCTAAGAAGTGGATCTTATGTTGCTATTAAAATGTTGGGCAAATCCAAAGCCAATTGCCAAGAATTCATTAGTGAAGTTGCAACCATTGGGAGGATACACCATTTCAATGTGGTTCATCTTGTTGGGTTTTGTGTGGAAGGAACTAAGCGTGCTCTTGTTTATGAATATATGTCGAATGGATCTTTGGATAAATATATTTTTCCCAAGAAAGAAAGCGTCTCCTTGAGTTTTCATCGGATATATGAGATTTCTCTGGGAGTGGCTCGTGGAATACCTTACCTTCACCATGGATGCGATATGCAGATATTGCATTTTGATATTAAGCCCCATAATATTCTTCTTGATGATAATTTTAGTCCAAAAATTTCAGATTTTGGACTGGCAAGATTATATTCTGTTGGTGATAGTATTGTAACTTTAACCGCAGCAAGAGGAACAATAGGGTATATGGCTCCTGAATTATTTTACAAGAATATTGGAGGAGTTTCTCACAAGGCTGATGTTTATAGTTTTGGAATGCTTTTGATGGAAATGGCAAGCCGAAGAAGGAATTTGAATTCACATGTAGAACATTCAAGCCAACTTTACTTTCCTTTGTGGATTTATGATCACTTTGATGATGATAAAGATATTGGAATGGAAGATTTGACAGAAGAAGAAAAGGATTTAGCAAAGAAAATGTTCATAGTAGCACTCTGGTGTATACAACTAAAACCTGCGGATCGTCCTTCAATGAACAAAGTGATAGAAATGTTAGAAGCAAATGATGTTAGAAGTCTTGAAATGCCTTCAAAACCTTCTTTATATCCTAACGAGACTGTTTTTGTGGATCACATGTCCAGCTCAAGCCAAACAACATCCACTATTCATGGACATTCTCATAGCAATCTTGCTAGGTGAGGCCACAAGTAATAGAAACTAAGATGCAATTGAAAAAGGAGCTAGGTCAAAGCTCGTGGCTTTCTAAAGTTTGAACTTATCATATGTGTCCCATCTCAATATTTAGTTGTTGTTCGGATTTGGGTTTTGCCCAAATAATTCAGCATGTTGTTATCATTAGTAATGATGTTTTGCAATATCCTGAATATTATATCAGTAAAAAAATTCAAAAAATAATTAAATAATAATATTTTATTATTGTAAAATAATAATACTTTATTATTTAAAAAAAAAAAAAGAACACCTTTTGGTGGCAACATTTATTATGAAGAAGAAAACGGAGATGGATGGTTGAAGGGAGGAATTAATGAAAGAAGAAGAAAATGAGGGAGGAACAGTTGAAGGTTACAGATAAAAGGCAAACAAGAGACAAAGAAAGAAAGAAAGAGAGAGAGAGCAACAGGAAGAGAGAGACGGAGAGAGGGAGCGTGGAGAGGAATGCCTGCTATTTCTAAAGGAGAAGACAAGCTTTGGGGATAATTTAGGTACATAAAATTACTTCTTTTCATTAAAATTTTTTCATGAATATTTTCTATATATTTTAAACTTCCTAATGAAAGTATTAATACGGTGATTAGAGAAAATTTTGAGATTTAGATATGGAGTAAGTATTGAGTTTTGATGAATGTTAACCATAGTATTGTAGATATAATATAGCAGATCATTTCTATCAATTTAGATTTGTCTATTTGTTGGTTTTAATATTTAAAAATTAATTTTTAATTTAAAAAATCTGTTATATATGACATATATTGTATTTATACAGATCAAAATTAAGTTAAATAATTTATTTGGGTTGTTTGACATATTATTGAGATTTTAATCAATTTAGTTTTATTTACTGGGTGACTGGAGGCTTTAAAATAATTATTTTAAATAAAATTTTTATTATTTGTGGGGGGGAAGATCTGATAGTTATACCATTAAAACTTTGATTAAATTATTTATTTATAAATATTTGAAGTACTATTGAATTTTTGATGATTTGGTTTTGAGGTTTAAACTTCAAATGGGATTTTTAAAAAATTTAGAACATAATAATTTCATATTTGCAAATTTTGAAAAATTCTTTTTATTAAAGTAAATAATTCGGAGGATCTAAATAAATAATTTGACTTGTCATAAAATTATAAGTTAATTCTAAAATACTTAATTTGGGTTATGAGAGTTGCTGAAATTTAGAATAAAAATAAATTAAATTAGAAATTTAACTAATATATAAGCTTAATTATTTTTTTACCAGCAAATATAAGCTTAATTAATTAATTAGTTTATATTAATATGTGGTTATATTAATTGTGTAGATTAATTATTGGTTGAGTACAAGATTGACCTTGTGGTAATCCTTTTTATTGTTTTGGTGAGAGATAACTATTTTTCATTTGTTATATGTGCTAATATGTTGTTTGTGAGTATTTTGATATTTTGAAACAATGATATGCTATTTGAAACTCAGGGAGATATGTTATACCTTTTTAAGCTATGAAAATTATTTTGTGGAATTTTTGGAATTGTCACTAAGCCGTTTGAAAAAAAAATAATTTATATTTTATGGATTTTATTGAGAAAAGATTAAGATATTTCTCATTATATTCTGAATGATTGGTTATTAATTGGATTTTGAGTTGAGTCTTGCTCTATCAAGTGGTAAGGTTGCCATTAATATACATTAGTTGGCTTCCTCCGTCCCCTGTAGTAAGGGATATGCTTTTGTGGCTTCTTATTCATCTCCCAAAGTGAGAAATAAGCCTATATGTCTGATTGATCTCTTACAGTGAGGGATAAATTTATGTGGTTTGTGTGTTGACCCCATAGTGAGAGCTTGAATTATTGAAATTATCTTAGTACACATGTTTTCTGTTTATATTGATATATCTATAATTTTCGAGAATTAATAACTGTCCCACTTGACATCTTACGAACACATGTTAGTATGTATGATGAGTTAAAAAGTTGGTTATTAAGGCTTTTATCTCATCCCGTGATTTCTACTATCTTCAGGTGATAGCTTAGGTGGTGGTCCATCAAGGAAGGCTCTGGAGGCTTAGTGTACTGTTCTAGCTTGTATAACCTCTCTTCTTTTGTTTTATATGCTGGTTTATGATATGTTGCCATATCAGGCTCATCTATTCTAATGTTATAAACTGATACTTTTGATTACTACTATCTAATATGGGGGGCTGTTAGAAGGCTGGAGATTTCTAAGACTTTTCATGTGACACTCTCTTGAAAGTTTTGATTTTTGATTAATGAACTCCATAGCTTAATTTAAAATGATTTATCAATTCGTATGTTTAAAAGTATGAGTTTTGTTTGGATTAATGGTTGAATGGTATTTCTAGACTTTAGAAGTCCAAAACCCAAGTTAATGATTGATATTGCCCGTGATATAAGTTTATTTATTTTAACTATAATAGTGGTTTTATAATTTTAAGATTTCTTCTTTTCTATCATGGTTAATCTTTCGAATAAATTATTTGATTTAATCTAAGTGGGTTTTTGGAAGAACGGTCATCACATGTGTGATATGTGCAAAGACTATTAATGTAATCTCTTTCAAGCTTATAATCTACTACCTCCGACCCTTAATATATTAACTAATTTGATATTTAGTTTAGTTCTATATATAAAATCTAAATCCACTTTGTCTATCGTTATCCATTTTTTCTAAAATAATTTTTGCAATAATTGCACATGTTAAAGATTCCATCGAGCAGTGATTTTAGTTAATATACATGATTAGCAATGATATTTTAGAAAGGATAGTACATATTTATTAACTTAACAAATTTTTTTAATCTACTCAAATTATTAAACTAACTCTTATACCAAGAACCAAAGGTAATACTCACAATATATCTTTAAAACAATAAGCATCGCTCAAAATCTTCAATTGAAATCGATACTTATGTCTTACTAATTTGTAAAACATCCTATCTTTAACCCCTCAGGATACGGGTTTGGAAGCGTTATGGTTCAAGCGATTCATGAAATAATCCGTAGATTGAACTTTGTGATTGGTTCTCGGGTTACTATTTACTGGTTAAATTCCATATTTTCAGTCCAAGTTTGAGCAATCATAACTCTTAACACACGTATCCATTTTAAGTGATCTATCACTTGTTTAAAAGTTCAGGATGTGTACTTTCATGAGCAGAGTCAGTCATTTACCATACTTCTACTCTGTCACTATTTTGTTACTCAATTAGGGATAGCTTATACCCTAACTTGCACTAACAGTTCATGATTAGGACTTTCCATACGTAATGCCATTTCATTCATACACTAATCATTCCATACATTATCATAGGTAATTACACAAGCTAACATCATCATTTATTATCACATACTATTAATGGTACCTTTACAACATACATTGGTATATACAGTGTACAACGTAATATAATACATTTCTTAATTCTTTTCCTCTCTTTCTTGCTCCACTTCTTGATTTCTTCTCCCATCCTCTTGCACATAGTATGATTGGTTAAGGGAGAGTGAGATTCGGGAGAATCTCAGTAACAAACATTACCATTTATGCGTGCAAGATGGATGCAAGTATATGACATCCTTTTGTGCACAACTTTATCATTTATGCATAGTGAAATGCCATGGAAAGTAAGCCAGTTCATTCATATTCACAACATAATTCCAAGGCATGCTTAACTAAACATAGCAATCATAGTTCAGCAGCATAGCTTAATCACATCATGGCATTAATAACACATACACACATACACACCAAGTACACAAGAAAGGTAAGTTCGCTACCTTGTATCATAAGTTTTCTCTTGCTCTTCAACTTGCTCTTTTTTGCTTCTAACCATTAAGGTTGCTTCCTCAACCTTTATCATTCCTTTTCCTTGATGTCTCATGGACCTAAATACACCAACACATCATTTCCATTCATTCATTAGAGCCATGGTAATCAACAACATCAATGCTTTGTTTTTTTTTTAAGCTATATTAGCTTCTAACTTTTAAGCTTGATTTCCAACCTTTTCAAAATTAATTCCACATACTATTCCCACACAATATGTAGAATCTATTTCCAAGCTCAAAATAATCAAAATCAAACTGTTCCCTACTCAACTTGATCTGGCTGAACATCGAGTCGTAGAGCTCAACATTCTACTTTCAATTCTAATGCTTCCAAACTTGTTTTCTCACTTTTACCCCGCACAATTTTTCATTTTAAACACATTGGAAGTATCAAAATCATCAAAATCCAAATCCTAGCCCCAAAAGCCATCCCTGGCCGAAATATTACTAAAGTTACATAATCAAGAAATTCAATCAATTTCAATATAAAACCACTTGATTCTTGTTCCTTTCAAGTCTTTAAACATTATTCTAACATCAATTTTATCTTCTCCTATTCTTAAGAATTTCGTGCAGCATGTCCCCTTAGAGTTTCAAGCTCCCAAAAATCATTAAAATCCATAACCAAGCTCAATAACAACAAGGGTAGTGAAAACTACATCAAAAACCACAAACATACCTTGTTTTGGAGTTTGATCTTGTATATGACCGCTTGGCCTTTCTTTCCCCCTTCCTTCTCTCTCTAGAAACCATTTTGCCAGAGCTTCCCAAGGTTTCCTCTAGGTTGGACGAAAATGAAGGGTGGCGAGGGGTATTTATAGAAAACAAGATTGAATCTGGGCCATTGATCTTAAAAATGTGTGGCTTGATCTGGACTGTCCATTTTCTCTTTTAATCTTATAGTGACAAGTGTCCTATGATATCATGCTTACCTCATCATGATGACATCATACTTACATCATCAATCCACATGCTTTTAATCTAACCGCACACGTGTCTTGCATTCGACCGTACATGTGTCTTGCATCCAGCCGTACGCGTAATATCTTTTTTTCCATCTAACCGCACACTTGCCTCCTCCATATTCCTTCATCATTTTGGAATTAAAATAAGGAGGAAATTAATATAAAACTCGTGCA